AATGAGAAGTATTCGGTTCGAAATGAGAAGTATTCGGATCGAAATGAGACATATTCGGATCGAAATGAGACATATTCGGATCGAAATGAGACAAATTCGGTTCGAAATGAGAAATATTTGGTTTGAAATTAGGAATATTCGTTTCGAAATGAGAAATATTCGGTTCGAAATAATAAGTTTTCGGTTCGAAATGAGAAGTATTCGGTTCGAAATGAGAAGTATTCGGTTCAAAATGAGAAATATTCGGTTCGAAATGAGAAGTATTCGGTTCAAAATGAGAAATATTCGGTTAGAATTTGGGGAATATTCGGTTCGAAATGAGGAATATTTCTCCACTGTGGAATAATGCAGAGTATATACGTGATGTTATACGGGAGCTCCCTGAAAACATGTTCATATTGAGCTCATTATTGAACTATTGGCTCTTGGAGCTCCACTCTGTGCAGATACGTGATAACATAAGCTTAACCTAGCCTAATCTAACCTAACCTAATATAATCTAACCTAACCCACTCTAATCTAACCTAATATAACCTTATCTAGCCTAACCATACTAAGCCCAACTTAATCTATTCTAATCTAACGTAACCTAACCTTATCTAACCTAGCCTTACTAAACCCAACCTAACCTAATCTAACCAAACCTTATCTAGCCTAGCCCTACTAAAGCCAATCTAACCTAACCTAATCTAATCTAACCTAACCTTATCTAACCTAACCTAACCTTATCTAACCTAGCCTTACTAAACCCAACCTAACCTAACCTTACCTGAACCTAACCTTACTAAAGCAAATCTATCGTATCCTATTTTACTAACCCGAACCTAACCCATCCTAACCTAAACTAGCCTTACGATGTGTATTTTGCGTGAAAACTGTCCGAAATACTGCGATGCGAACGGGTCAGGACCAGACAATGCTCACAAGCGAATGTTCACTCCGCAATAACCTGGGAACTTTTGCTACGATTCATCTAGCATTTACGTGTCCACTTACGAAACCTGTACATCTTTAGGTTTCGTTTGCTTTTCCATTAGAGACTTTCGGCGCCGTGGAGAGGGGAGGCGGACCTGCTGCATGGGTGACAGCTTCTCCCCCGTATCAACGTACCCTGGCTTTGCGCCCTGGAGAGGCCACTCCAGACCGACAACCAGAGCGCAACTCCATAGTCTCCTGAGACTGATGGATGCCTACTACTACTACTACTACTATCCACAATCATGAAAGCTTACAGTCAGTGATTAGTAAATAGCTTGCGAGGTTCGATAATGCGTCTCCCAAGGTTATTATTGTTATAGATACCCCTCGTAATGCTTCGAAAGTCTTAAGCCGTTTAATAAATGTAAACTAATCCGCCATGATTGAAGAAAGATGTACGGGTTTCGTAAGGGGCACGTGAGTGCTTCGTGAGTCCCGACCCTGGTAATTAATCGTGAATTCCCTGATTATTAATCGACCCTGATTATTAATCGTAATTATTAATCGCTCAAGTGAATACTAATATAGAAAGGCTTAAGAGGAGCTATGGGAAGGGAAAGTTGTGAACCTGTTATGAAAAGTGAAAGAGAGAGAAGTACTAATCTGGTTGAAACGAAGAAAGTTGAAAAAATGCTTTCTTTACCATTGTCATTGTTGAAAATGACAATGGTAAAGTCATTTACCCCCCCCCCCTCCCCACACACACACACAAAAAAAGATTGATTGATTAATCCCTCTAACTTTACATTTCAGTGTTGGCCAAGTCCCTTATTTGGCCAATATATTACTTTTATAAGTCTATTACTTGGCCATTATATTACTTTTTACGTTTTACAAGTCTATTACTTGGCCATTATATTACTTTTTACGTTTTACAAGTCTATTACTTGGTCATTGGCCATTATATTACGTGGCCACAGTATTATAATTCATTCTCGTCTTTTGCATTTAATAAAACAATAATATTACCCACGTACTGGGAATAAAATACACACACACACAAACTTGCAGCCGAAACGTAGTGAAAGTGATTAATATTTAAATAAATGTTTGGACCTTTATCTGTACACATTTTCTGGTACTAATTTGAATTTTTCTCGAAGTGTATTTCAGACAAAAAACTAAATTGTAATTTTTTTTGTCAAAACGTCCATTATTCCAGTCAAATACAACACTCTAGGAGTTTACACAACAGTGAAAATATAATAGATGCGTAATAAATACAGTAATTTCAAGGCTTTTTTAGTAACATGAAACACAAATGCCTTCTGTAGCCCACTACACTTTTAATTAACAGCAACATGCAAATATTCACAAAACTTTATTTACACTATTCGTATATCATTTTATCTTGAATGTCATCAATTTAAAATACATAAAAATTCCATAGATATATATTGTAAACTTTTATGAACTATATCAAGCATTTTGACACTCATTTGGGATGATCAATCAAAAACACAAATTCTTTTAGGAAAATTTGTTTAAACACTGATATACTTTTATATGATAAAACAGGACAACACCTGCAAGAATTAAAAATAACAAACAAAATTATACCTAATAATATCCATGCTGGTAATAAATTTCAAGAGGATTTTTTCCTCATTTATAACTTGCTGATAGAATACCAATACCAATGCAGTGTCACTAGCTGCATTTGATATAGAAAACAGGTTTAACAATCAGAAAAGCAGGTAATTATATACAAGATAACACGGGGGGTAAAAAAAAAACTCCTACAATTATTTCTAAAGCAGAACCAGTAGCTGGAGTTGATACAGAAAATAGAAAAAAAGAACCCCAAAAAACAGGTAATGAGATGCAGGTAAGGAAAAACACAGGGCAGGTAAGGACAACACAGGAAAATCATTTCTTACTCCGTTGTGACTGTCTTTGAGTGCTTGCTCGCGCGGCTGGAAAATAAACAGTGAGTTACCATTTGAGTTTTGAATAAAATATATTAAGCCCTGCCCATAAAAATAACACATTCCGAGAAATAGAAAACATCACTTGTATAACATTTCAGGTACGAGATTATTTGGCTTCTGTCGTGGATGGAGTCATCAACCACTAGCCTAGCTGGCGAGAACGATCCAGGTTCGAGCTCCGGAAACGGAGGGACGATAGAACATGGATTCTTAATTGTTCATTGTTGTTCACCCAAAAGGTAATTGGGGACATAGCTGTAAAGCGATTAGCAAATCGTATTCTGCGGAAAACAAGCAGCTTATAATTATATATATACATAAATATATTATTTACATATTATATATATATATATATATATATATATATATTATATATATATATATATATGTCGTACCTAGTAGCCAGAAACGCACTTCTCAGCCTACTATGCAAGCCCCGATTTGCCTAATAAGCCAAGTTTTCACGAATTATGGTTTTTTCGACTACCTAACCTACCTAACTTAACCTAACCTAACTTTTTCGGTTACCTAACCTAACTTTTTCGGTTACCTAACCTAACCTATAAAGATAGGTTAAGTTAGGTAGGGTTGGTTAGGTTCGGTCATATATTTACGTTAATTTTAACTCCATAAAAAAAAAATTGACCTCATATACAATGAAATGGGTAGCTTTATCATTTCATCAGAAAAAAATTAGAGAAAATATATTAATTTAGGAAAACTTGGCTTATTAGGCAAATCGGGCCTTGCATAGTAGGCTTAGAAGTGCGTTCTGGCTACTAGGTACGACATATATATAGGATATATATATTATATAATATATATATATATATATATATATATATATATATATATATATATATAGATATATATATCTATATATTAGTATATTTTTGGTAAGCAGTCTTTCCTGTAGACATATTTTATTAAATATGACCGAAAAAGTAAGATTAATAATTCTAACACGAATTTTCTCAATCTTTCGTACATTATGCTTCACTGTTGGAGGTAAATCAAAAATCACTTCTCTCCAAAATTCATTTTTATTTCTAGTCTGACGCGACCCGGGCGCGTTTCGTAAAACTTATTACATTTTCAAAGACTCACAAATACACAACTGATTAGAACTTGCGTTTCCCTGATTTTATATCTACATTTGAGTGAGGTGGGAAGGGTGATGTTGCATTACATTTGAGTGAGGTGGGAAGGATGATGTGGCATTAGAGGATATTAATAGGGTATTAAAAGTATCAACACAAGACAGAACACGAAACAATGGATATTGAATAGAAGTGTTTTGTAGAAAGCCTATTGGTCCATATTTCTTGATGCTTCTATATTGGAGCGGAGTCTTGAGGTGGGTAGAATATAGTTTTGGCAATAATTGGCTGTTGGATTGCTGGTGTTGACTTCTTGATGTGTAGTGCCTCGCAACCGTCAAGCCGCCTGCTATCGCTGTATCTATCGATGATTTCTGTGTGTTTTACTAGGATTTCTCTGGCGATGGTTTGGTTATGGGAAGAGATCTCTTCGGTCTCTTCCCATAACCAAACCATCGCCAGAGAAATCCTAGTAAACAACACAGAAATCATCGATAGATACCAGCGATAGCAGGCGGCTTGACGTTTGCGAGGCACTACACATCAAGAAGTCAACACCAGCAATCAACAGCCAATTATTGCACAACTATATTCTACCCACCTCAAGACTCCGCTCCAATATAGAAGCATCAAAAAAAAAAAAAAATATGGACCAATAGGCTTTCTACAAACACTTCTATTCAATATCCATTGTTTCGTGTTCTGTCTTGTGTTGATACTTTTAATACCCTATTAATATCCTCTAATGCCACATCATCCTTCCCACCTCACTCAAATGTAATGCCACATCACCCTTCCCACCTCACACTAATGTAGATATAAAATCAGGGAAACGCAAGTTCTAATCAGTTGGTATTTGTGAAGTCTTTGAAAATGTAATAAGTTTTACGAAACGCGCCCCGTGTCGCGTCAGACTAGAAATAAAAATGAATTTTGGAGAAGTGATTTTTGATTTACCTCCAACAGTGAAGCATAATGTACGAAAGATTGAGAAAATTCGTGTTAGAATTATTAATCTTACTTTTTCGGTCATATTTAATAAAATATATATATATATATACCAAAAATAAAAGTGAAAATGAACTTTTGAAGAGTTAATTTTTCAACTTCCACTAACAGTAAAGAAAAACATAAGAAATATTGGAACGATTCGTGCTATAATCATTAGTCTTACCCTTTCGGTCATATTCAACAACATATGTTTGCGAGAAAGACTGCAGTCAAAAATATTACATACACTATACACTTGTATAAACCCCAAGTAATATTTAACACAGAAACTCGTCATCTATGAGAGAACTGAACTCGAGATGGCGAGCCAGTACACTAACCAATACACCATAGCAGATCGTATAAAAGGATTGCGAGACGTTCAATTCTCCAGAGTTTAATTCAGCCAGAGTTCAATTCTCTCATAAGGGAAGAGTTTCTGTGTTAAATAGTGTGGTTAATGCAACTGTGTGGTATATATATATGGGCTCGAGTATTACCAATGTAAAAATGATTGAGTTGGGAGAACGTATGTGTCTAATCTGTTACCATTAGCTGGCGTCGTTGGGGGACTGTAGTCGTGGAATAGGCGCCCGTCTCACGGTCCTTTTAACGATGTGCTATGGTGTATTGGTTAGTGTACTGGCTGGCCATCTGGTTTGCCTGAGTTCAGCTCTCTCATAAAGGTGAGAATTTGTGTTTACATATATATGTATATATGTGTTATTATATATGTATATATATATATATATATATATATATATATATATATATATATATATATATATAATATGATATTTTTTGGTGAATATAATATTGCATTGACACCAAATTCATCTTCATAAAAAAAGTAAAAAAAAAGTAAGTTATTCATTAATTTATGAAAACTAATTAAATACATTCTAAAGTTAATATACTTATAAAAGCATCTCTAGAAAAATGAGCAGGAGAAGCTGTTTATAATACAACATAAATTTTAAAGAAAAAAGTTAAAGATAAAAGTTAGAAAAATTAGAAAAAAAGGGGAAAAGTTTAATGGAGACCTAAAAATAATTTCTTCCTTGCAACTTCTACATAGCAGTAATATAACATTAATATGACGAATGGTGTGTGTTGCCTCAGGACATCAACACAACAATTTTTATACAAAATTTTATTGGTGAAATTTTAGAATCATTCTCAAAAACCGTGTTTTTATAGAATTATTTAGGTAACGGCAATCGTTTAATATTGGGGTTAAGGTATTATGTTATATATGCATTCAAACCCTCCCCCCCATATACACGCACGCACGCGCGCGCGCACGCACGCACGCTCACACACACACACACACACACACACCACACACACACACACACACACAGGATTACAGAGCCCGATAGGCTCAGGAATCTGTACACTTATTGATTGACGGTTGAGAGGCGGGACCAAAGAGCCAGAGCTCAACCCCCGCAAACACAACTAGGTGAGTACACACACAACCACACAAGAAGTCATACATTTAAACTAACAACACAAAGCTGCCAAAGAAATTTAAGAAAATTCACTTTTGCAGAGTGGTAGACGGCTGGAACAAGTTAGGTGAGAAGGTGGTGGTCAAACCATCAGTAATTTCAAAGCGTTATATGGCAATGAGTACTGGGAAGACGGGACACCACGAGCGTACCTCTCATCCTGTAACTACACTTAGGTAATTACACCCACACCCACACACATTTATAAATTTAAATTCATAATTTACTTTAATATATCGGACGATAATTTTAACAATCAGACTGAAGTGAAATAACAAAAAATTCAATATATTTATATATATATATAATATATATATTATATATATATATATATATATATATTATATATATATATATAATGTCGTACCTAGTAGCCAGAACGCACTTCTCAGCCTACTATGCAAGGCCCGATTTGCCTAATAAGCCAAGTTTTCATGAATTAATGTTTTTTCGACAACCTAATCTACCTAACCTAACTTAACCTAAATTTTTCGGCTACCTAACCTAAACTAACCTAACCTATGAAGATAGGTTAGGTTAGGTTAGGTAGGGTTGGTTAGGTTCGGTCATACATCTACGTTAATTTTAACTCCAATAAAAAAAAATTGACCTCATACATAATGAAATGGGTAGCTTTATCATTTCATAAGAAAAAAAAATAGAGAAAATATATTAATTCAGGAAAACTTGGCTCATTAGGCAAATCGGGCCTTGCATAGTAGGCTGAGAAGTGCGTTCTGGCTACTAGGTACGACATTATATATATATATATATATATATATATATAGATATATATATATATAATATATATATATATATATATTATATATATATATATATATTCATATATAGGTGTACAAATATACACTTAGAATGTTCCGATCAAACACCAAAAGAAGAACAATAAAAGACAACATAATTAAGCAAAACAAGGATTTGCTTACGCCTGCGAGACTGTCTTAATGTGTCACTACGAGATGCTGAAAGCCAAAAATATAAAACACATTAGTATCTTTTGTACAGAGATTGTAATACTGTTGTGTAATCCTGTAATAAGTTGTGTAATCATCTAAGACAGGCAGGCAATATTCACCATGCCTGTCTCCTCCTCGCAATCCGTTCTTATAACAACCTGTCCTTTTAAGACCTGCCGCAACGGACAAAATATGGGCTACTAACACTTTCGAACCCATTTCACCTGAACCTAAGGGAGCCAAGCATACACCGAGAAGTATACCTCTGTTTCTCGGTGTATAGACAATGGGAGTATACTTCAGTCTTTTTGTCTATTTTTACAGTATTTAGTATTACCCTATTTATTCAAATATTATATAAACACTATACATATTTATTCAGCTGTATTTTTTTTTAGTTTTATTTTAGCAAAATGAGACTACTATAAATATACATTTCATTGAAACTGAAATTGCTTAGACTTGTAATAATCTATTACACTCCTAATAACCACTTCTGATCCAATTCGATATATAAAGGTTCAAGATTAATATGAACATGAATGAATGTGATGGATAATGAATCATTTTATAAAAAGCACGTACTCTTTAAAAACCTTTTTTGAACGTTCAGAGGTGCATGCATGACCCGAAGCCTAATTATCTGGGTATCTGGGTCTTGAGATTAGAACTAAAATTTATCAGACATTTACTAATTTACTTAAGAAACCTCTACATCTTTCAACAATCATGGGCGACTTTGTTGACATTTATTCATAAGTTCACGAACTTCAAAGCACTAAGAGGTATCTTATAGCACTAATAACCTTGAATTGTGAAGCTTCGAAGCTTCTAAACTTTAATACATCTAAATAAAGCCGCAGTGACTGTTGAAAGATGTACAGGTTTCGTAAGTGGATACAAAAGTGCTTGATGACTCCAGACTATGGACTTATCAGCAATGTCTTGGCTTTGTGAAGCTGAGATTATAGGGACTTCACCTTCACGAATCGGTTTAGGAATATTGTACAACAATTTTAATGAACGTGAAGGAAAGATTGTGCGACAATCATGAAGGTGAAGGAAGGTGAAGGAAGGTGAAGGAAGGGGAAGGGAAGTATTAAGGGGGAAAGCGCCAAGCCATTACCGACTATAGTGAGGGTGAAGGAAAGATTGTATACATGTGTAAGTGTAATATTAAAGTTTTAATATGCCATATTTAAGAGCAATATTAAACTAAAGTTTCAGATAAAGACTGACAACTTTCATCAAGGTGTTGTCATCAAACAATGTTCTCAGAACAATGTTTGACAACACTATAATTATTATGTAAACATTATGTAGTAATGTTTGGCAGCATTATAAACACTCTGGAAGGGTAAACTAATGTCCATTCATACCTATAATAAAGTTTCAAAGTACATATTATGTTTTATCACGAATATTACACATCAACTATATATATATATATATATATATATATATATATATATATATATATATATATTATATATATATATATATATATAAAATAGAAGCCTCGAACTGCAGACCACAAAAACACAGACTGCAGCTCTACCTACTGAGCCACCAGCACCCACAATAGAACAGGAGCCCAGCGAGACACCAGTCTGCTGTTCAACTGGAACTTAAGCCTTCCCTCGGGTGCCACATTGGCATGAATGTGCTAGAGGTGAGCCACATTATTGTTTTATAAATAGCTATAACCACAAAATCTTGCTTTGGTGTCCAGAGGATCGAGTCTACTGCAGTCCAGGTGAGTGAAATGCCTTTTATTATTAAGTAATTAAAATTATTATATATTATTATAATTAATAATAATTAAATAATTAATAAAAATTAATCCACGATATGGGTTTTAACGTTGAATGGATTTACATTTAGAGAACGGGTGATGTTAAAAGATTTGTGTAAAAAAATAATGTAAATTGTTGTATAATATCACAGATTAAAAAAAAAGAGACTAAAAACCTTGAAAAGATTTTTAAATGTTTTTATTAAAATAGAACACGTGGAGAGTTCTGAAACAATCACAAGAATCTATCAACAATTCAACGGGGATATTAGAAACAATCAGGACACGTATTTTGTGATTAAACAAATACTAAAGAACAATAATATCAACAATTAACATATGCCTTATAAGTAATCAAGTATCACCACACACACTTAAAACTTATAATCAGATTCAAAATGCAACATCAATGCTAGTTCAATCTTAAAAGTCTTAAAATTGGGGAACAGGAAACAGATATTGCCAATTTTTGTTTTTGGGTAGGGGAGGGAGGGAGGGAGGGAGGGTGGGGGGATGAAGAGCTAGAAATTACATAACAAATGTAACGTTTCCTTACGCTTATATGACTGCCTCAGGGTATCAGTTCGAGGCGCTGCAAGAGAAAGTAATCACGAGGTCAGAGTCTATATCGAGAGGCGGCAGCTTGAATCAGGTCATCTCCCTCCCCCACACACACTCTTACCTTTCTTATACATAAATATCCAAATATATTAAAAATAAAGCCTGGGGTAAACAGCTTCACCATTTCAGACGCTAGCAACACACACACACACACACACACACACACACACACACACACACACACACACATTGGAAATATATTCACTAATAAGTATACACCAGATGAGACGTTGGGATGTAAGTCTCGTCCTGATCACACACTCAGACCTTGACCAAGCACTCGGGAGAGTGCGAAAGACTTCGTGTAAATTCCTTAAATAAATTTCAAAAATTCACAAGTGTGGGATTTTATCCTATCATAAAAAAAATACACTCACATGCACACACTTGTACACACACACACACACACACACTGGAATGCATTAAAGTAGCGATGTAGTGTAGGCAGACTCCAAACATTGTCTCAAATGTAGATATGATAGATCCCAATAGGCTCAGAAATCTGTCCACCGTTTAACTGACAGTTGAGAGGCGAGACCAAAAGAGCCGAATCTCAACCCCCCGCAAGCACAACTAGGTGAGTAAAACTAGATGGGTACACAAAGGCACACACAACCACACATAAAAACACACATACACACTAGAAATGGCCAATATATATATATATATATATATATATATATATATATATATAGTGTATGTATGTATATATATATATATATATATATATAATATATATATATATATATATATATATATATATATATATATATATATATTGATATATATCAATCTTCGGCTATCCAGAGAGTCTATCGAAACTGATGCTTCTACAGGAGAGGACATTCACAGAAATCTGTGTCCTGCACTTGCAACCGTTGCGACAGGCTCGAACGCAGGTCTATCCGGATATATATATAAATAGAGAGGCAACACTAAATAATAAGCAGCAGAATGAGAAATATAGATAAAAACAAGAAACATGAATGCGAACATCACACATCTAAACATAATAATATAGAGGAAAAATTAGATACAAATGAGGAGCATAGATGGAAACATGATTACCAAAAGAGCATAATGTGAAACACATGTGTGAACAAGTTACACACATGAGGAACATTTACCAAAACAGGCGACACAAATGGACAGATTGAGAAGTAAAGACAGAAACCTGACACAAATGAGCGTAGGAAAGAAACAAATATGGAAACGAGATACAAATGAACAGAATGCGAAACAGAGAGAAACAAGATGCATAAGAAAATATATTGAAACAATTGACACAAATGAGCATAATGAGAAACATGACTGGAAACGAGGGACACAAATGAGGGGGGGAATGAGGAATGAAGAAAGAAACAAGAAATAATGAGAAACATAGATGGATATAAGATACAAAAAAATGAGTCAAATGAAGAACGTATATACAGAACCATGAGACATAAGAAACACTGATGAACCCAAGAGAGAGAGACATGAGAAACACAATTAAAACCAAAACACACAAATGAGAAACGCAGATGGAATCTATAGACACAAAAGCACCAGACGATGCAACAGCTACAAACTTGCCAAAACCCCTTTTGTAGCATATAAAAAAGCAGATACGTTTCAACACAATTATTACAAAAACAAAAAGCTGTGGAAAAAAACAGAACCCTCCGACTCGATAAAAAGTGAAGGGGGGCAAGAGTGCAGTTCAAAATATACAAGAAGAGTGGAAGAGTGAACTGGAAGAGTGAAGGAACTCTCCTTCAAGAGCCACCAGCTTCAAATCCCACGTCAACACGTCAACAGATGTGCAATAGTGACGTCAAGTCAACTTTGCATCAGCGTTACGTCAAATGACGTCAAATCAACATCAAATATACTTTACGTCAACATATTCTCCCACACACACACATTTTCTCATTGTGCATTAAATGTTCTTTAATTGGATAACATTAAGGCATTGAAAAGAAAGACATTATTGCATTAATATAATAATGACTTTAATATGACAATATGGTTATTACTTTAATATAACAAGGAATAACTGGTTATTACTTTAATATAACAAGGAATAACTGGTTATTACTTTAATATAACAAGGAATAACTGGTTATTACTTTAATATAACAAGGAATAACTGGTTATTACTTTAATATAACAAGGAATAACTGGTTATTACTTTAATATAACAAGGAATAACTGGTTATTACTTTAATATAACAAGGAATAACTGGTTATTACTTTAATATAACAAGGAATAACTGGTTATTACTTTAATATAACAAGGAATGACTAGCTATTACTTTAATTTTAAATATAACAGGGAATGACTGGTTATTACTGTAACTTATCAAGAAGAACCCAGGAATAATAAAATAACAACCTAGGACCAATAAGGTCTATATATGGAGATTTATTAAGCAATTTCATTTACTTTCTAATGTTGTAACTAAATTTATGAACCACCGGAATTATAAGAGACGTCACGTTCTGCAGATAAATTATTATCAAAAGGAGTCAGCTTTTACAGACTTTCTAGAAAACCGGCGTCTGATTGGCAGAACATTCAGTAAAATACCATTAGAATTATTGTAAATTTGGACCCAAGAGCCTCGAGAAATCCCCTTTTGGTCAATTACGTCAAGATTTCCACACACACACACACACACACACACACACACACACACACACACACATACTGCAGGAATGGTCGAACAAATGGTTGTTAGATTTTAACCCAAGCGAATTTAATGTAATGAAGATAGGTGTAAGGAACAGACCAGATATAAGGTATCATTTGGGAGATGAAATACTTCAAGAGTCAGAGAGAGAGAAAGACCTGGGGTTGATATCACGCCAGACCTGTCCCCTGAAGCTCATATCAAGAGGATAACATCAGCGGCATATGCCAGGTTGGCTAACATAAGAACGGACTTTAGAAACTTGTGTAAGGAATCTTTCAGAACATTATATACCACTCATGTCGGACCAATCCTGGAGTATGCGGCTCCAGCATGGAGTCCGTATCTAGTTAAGCATAAGACTAAACTGGAAAAGGATCAAAGGTTTGCCACCAGACTAGTACCCGAACTGAGGGGTATGAGCTATGAGGAGAGACTACGGGAATTAAACCTCACGTCACTGGGAGACAGAAGAGTTAGAGAGAACATGATCACCACATTCAATATTCTCAGAGGAATTGATAGGGTAGATAAAGACAGTATTTAACACAAAGGGCACACGCACTAGGGGACACAGGTGGAAATTGAGTGCCCAAATGAGCCATAGAGACGTTAGAAAGAATTTTTTCGCTGTCAGAGTAGTAGACAAATGGAATGCATTAGGAAGTGATGTGGTGGAGGCTGACTCCATACACAGCTTCATGTGTAGATATGATAGAGCCCAGTAGGCTTATGAATCTGTACACCAGTTGATTGACAGTTGAGAGGCGGGACCAAAGAGCCAGAGCTTAACCCCTGCAAGCACAACTAGGTGAGTACACACACACACACACACACACATTATATATATATATATATATATATATATATATATATATATATATATATATATATATATATATATATATATATTCCTGTACTATGTCATAGTCCATAGGCCCAACATCAAACCATAAGCACATGATTTATCATTTATATACGGCAATGAACAAGGAAAAAAAAGAGTTGCTGATGAAAAAGAAATACCTATGTATAAAATTATATTAAATAATGCGATGACTAGAAGATACAACAGGTAGGTTTTGCTTGACATTAGAACTAATACACTATTTAACCAAGTCATTGCTAAATCAAATTAAATAATATTACAATTTGAAAACAGATGTGACATAAAATATAATATATATATATATATATATATATATATATATATATATATATATATATATATATATATATATATATATATATATATATATATATAATCACAAGAATTAATATGATCTCCTTATATACGATTCTGAGAAACAATGTGGAATGTAAACATTACCGTTATGAGCTTTGAGATGTATAATTCCAAAGGATATATAAACACAGAGGTATATCACGCTTCTCGGTCTATATACACAGAAGTATACCCCCGCTTCTCGGTATATTTACAGAGTTTACTTAAGGCATGAAGAGTGTTCAGGACTAAAGTATACTTGCTGGTTGGTCAGTATAAGCTGTTGTGGAGGCCTTAATAACCCTCCAGAGGTTGAAAGGCCTCAAACCCAACACCAAGATAATACCATGTAAAGAGTCTCGCTATAGAAGAGCTTTAAGATCAAACATATAATATTAATTTACAACAAAACATAAAAATGTAAATATTTACTTAACAGTCATAGCAGAGAACCTTAAACAAAATCTATAAAAAATACATTCAAAATATTTTATTTCAAGGTAGCTGTGCACCTTACCACTAAAACTCTCTTTTGTTTTTTATTACTTAACAATAACATCAACAACAACATACACAACAATAAAGTAGTAATAATAACAATAACTATAATAATGCAGAAACAACCAAATAAACATCAATTTTTGTTATCTCATATTATATATATATATATATATATATATATATATATATATATATATATATATATATATATATATATATATATATATATATATATGGGGGGGGAAAAACCACATTTGAAAAATAGAGAATGCCTAACGTGTTTTCGGCTAATTCGCCTTCATCAGAGCAAAATAGAATGTTTGTAGAATCTTTCTCCTTTGCTCTGATGAAGGTAAATGAGCCGAAAACGCATTAAGCATTCTCCGTTTCTCAAATGTGGTTTTTCCGCGCATATATATATATATATATATATATATATATATATATATATATATATATATATATATATATATATATATATATTATATATACAAACTTATTTTAACGACAAGGGGAAACTAAAAAACGTCTGTTTATTTTTCAACGTTACCCATGTGGCGTATAGCTTACTAGTACAAGTCTCCTTCTGGCTGTTAGGACTTGCTGAAAACAGAATATATATATAAACATTAGTATATTTGTGCCCAACAAGACGGTCCGTAAGTGGTCATAGGGGTTTATGTAAACACAACATTCTAAATGTATTCAAACTAAAACTGTTTCGTCTATCAACCAAAGAATGATATTTTGTGTGACTAGGTTTAGGTAATAAATTGGATAATATTTGTCGACAAAAAAAATAATGAACTAGTATACAGCATAATGTCAAAAATATTTTGTAAATAGATTAGTTAAATTTTTGAAGTTGCAGGTTAGAAAAAAGTCAAATTAAATAGTTTTAGATTAGCTGTGAGCAAACATTATAACAGAAATAACAGAAACAATGAAACATGACATTGAAATATGTATAATTCTTTTACTTATACAATCCCCCCCCCCCACTAAAACGCCCCCCCCCCCATACATTTACAAAATACGATGTAAAATTGCATGCGACTAGCCCTAAGCATCTGGGCCCCCTTCCATGGACATTCACATGAACAAATAAACATTCTATTAGAATTGCCTATATTTATTGGCACTACCTATCCTTACCAGAGACATCTATCGAGGTATAGTAATTTCGACAGGATATACCTATCCCTCCTGGATATATCTACTCCTACCGGGAGAAACCTATCCCGTCTGGTAAGGCTTATTCCTACAATGGAAACTTGCTAATATCATTATTGTTGACAGTATCACTATGGTGAAAATCAGTTGGATCTATTAGGTTGATTCGAACCCTCTCTCATTAGGAGGATTCGAACACGTTAATGTAATTCCAATGTCCAATATCATCCTTATTATTATTAATAATATCGGCAGTAGCAGGAGAATTACTAACATTTTTAGGATTATAATATAATTAATGCAATTTAATTATTGTAATTATTGTTATCCTTAACTACTCGTCGTTCCAAAACATTGCTGAATAACACACACAAATCACAATAGCGTGATGCATCAAATGAACAAATCCACAAGGGCCGATAAAGGCAGCGTCTGGGATGCTCTCGGACGTAGGTTCGAATCCTCGTCACGGCCCTTGTGGATTTGTTCATTGCTGAATAACATTTACGGTTTAATTAGCTGCGCGGGCGCCTTCTGGTGTCAAAGATTTATTAAATACGAGATATGGGGGTACATGCTGAACATGTAGTGCCTGACTTACCTCACAGGGGGGAACTAAAGTCGACCTGTCTTGAGGTTATCTTGAGATGATATCGGGGCTTAGCGTCCCCGCGGCCCGGTCCTCGACCAGGCCTCCTTTTCGTTATGTGACCTATAGCCAAGTTTATAGCCAAAACTATATCCCGGCAAACACACAACGTAACTGTCCCTGCGTTCCGATTGTTATAACTTTTAATAAAGTTGTTACATATTGTTATTACGTTTTCATAACGTTTTACAACGTTGTTACAACTTGTTTGGTGGTGTTAAAACGTGTTCGAATGTTGTAGTAACGTCGTAGTTTCCTCACGAGTTTGGCGGGTTGTTGGTAGGGGAAATAGAGTTCCACTACTGTATAATTACGGGTTTTGGTGATCAATTTAGTGCTCGAGACAACAAAGATATCACTAACGTGGCTGATACAAGCCACACAACACGCAATTATGAAATGAAAATTATGTTTCAGCCCTGGACTTGTTATCCAACCCGTCCTCTTAAAATTACGTCGCTTTTCACTGGTATGCGCGCTATGGCCAAAAATGGCCGTAATCTGAAATTAAATCGACTCACGAAGGGACGTACTGTTCCGTTTTTTGTTTTGAGTCCTCCGGCTTACTCGGTAAGGTTAGGAGAGGAAACTTTGAATTAACGTTTTTCATGACGTTTTGAAACCTTAGGAGCACTTCCTGACCTCCTAACCAACCAGAGGACCCTTAACTTACTGTTTTGGACAAAAAAATCCACAATTTATTTTCAATTATTTTTTGTATTTTCAAATTACGTCCATTTTCGGTCATACGAGCAAACGGCCAAATTCAAACGTAATTTGTTAGAGGACCGAAATGTCGCTACTTTTTCTTCATTGCAGACTTGGATATGAAATTAATCCCTCTGCAAGCTATCGGACACATGTTAACTGAAGCACTTCACTACGGAAGATTCGTGAGATTTCGCAGGAAAATTTTCGTAAAACCCTAAATCTCAACTCCAGGAGATCAAGGCATTGTTGACCAGACCTCACACTAGAAGGTGAAGGGACAACGACGTTTCGGTTGGTCCTGGACCATTCTCAAGTCGATTGTCAATCGACTTGAGTACCACCAGAGGTGGTACTCAAGTGAGGGCACCGGTACTCAAGTGAGGAGCCGGTCGGCCGAGTGGACAGCACGCTGGGCTTATGATCCTGTGGTCCTGGGTTCGATCCCAGGCGCCAGCGAGAAACAATGGGCAGAGTTTCTTTCACCCTATGCCCCTGTTACCTAGCAGTAAAATAGGTACCTGGGTGTTAGTCAGCTGTCACGGGCTGCTTCCTGGGGGTGGAGGCCTGGTCGAGGACCGGGCCGCGGGAACACTAAATAGCCCCGAAATCATCTCAAGATAACCACCAGAGGTGGTACCCTCACAACTTTATATAAGTTGCGAGGGTACCACCACTGGTGCAAATGTAGGGACCCATAGCCTCGGAGAAGAAAATAAGGAGTATTCAGAGAAGACCTTGTGGATTCTCACTGAACACTTTAATATATTATATATATATATATATATATATATATATATATATATATATATATATATATATATATATATATATAATATATATATATATATATATATATATATATATATATATATATATATATATATATATATATATATATATATATGACAGTATCAGACCTCGAAAGAAGGATTAAGACAGGAATTTCCTAAAGAAGTTTAGTATTTAATAATACATCTTCAGTAGGCTGGATTTACAGATCTGTAGGTTGGATATATAGGCAGGAAAGAGGTGAAGTGAGATGAGGTACAAAGTCTCTAATGAGATAATGGTTACTAGTGAGATAAATGTATATCAATGATCCTATTCAAATCGCCCTTTAACTGATCAATCAAAAATCGATCTAAATTATACAAACCACTACCAATGTTCAAATTACATGATTTTATAATCTGTATTAAAGCAGATTCAATTATGTTCCTATTGAAAATACTTTTACAATTCGTTATTGAAGAAGCCAACTCCCGATCAATTTGGTGAGAGCTCTGACAAATCAACAAACAAAACCTTAGACAATTGGCTGTGTCTTACAGAGTATTTATGTTACGAAATTCTAAATTTCAAATCTTTAGATGTTTGCCCACCATAGAACATATTAGTCTTTACAAGGTATTTTCTAAATGACAATTATCACTACGAGGGGTGTTTCTAAATAATAGTTTTCCAACAGTATTTTCGTAATTAAACAATACATTTATATTAAAAAGTTTCAAGGCCTTGGCAATATTTTCGAACCCAGAAAAATATGGTAAACATAACACATATTTTGGGCGAATTTTCTCACTGCATATATTATTACAATATACACGACGCGCTTTGCTACGGCAAACTTCCAAAAAACTCAGTGGATAACAAAGCTTGAGACCAATAGAATCAATATTCTTAAACTCTTTATCTGAGAATTCTGGTCTAACAACACGAAGAGCTCTTAGATACATAGAGGAAAAAAATTAATGTTTCACATTGTATCTGTGCCCTGAGAAATAACGAACATAAGATAAATTATTCATTGGCTTTCCGTAAACACTAAACTTTAGTGAAAAATCTTCCCTATGAATAAGAATATCTTTGAATGGCAAATATTTATCAATTTCAGTCTCGATAATAAATTGTTTAACATTAGCTTAAACATTAGCGGTGGTTTGTATAATTTAGATACAGTTTTGATTGATCAGTTAAAGGGCTACTTGAGTAGGATTATTGATACACATTTATCTCACTAATACTCATTATCTCATTAAAGACATTGTACCTCATCTCACTTCACCTCTTTTCTGCCTACCAACCTACTGATCTGTAAATCCATCCTACTGAAGATGTATTATAAAATACAAAAGTACTTTAAGAAATTCCTGTCTTAATCCTTATTATATATATATATATATATATATATATATATATATATATATATATATATATATATATATATATATATATATATATATGTATGTATATATATGTATATGTCGTACCTAGTAGCCAGAACGCACTTCTCAGCCTACTATGCAAGGCCCAATTTGCCTAATAAGCCAAGTTTTCATGAATTAATTGTTTTTCGACTACCTAACCTACCTAACCTAACTTTTTTGGCTACTTAACTTAACCTAACCTATAAAGATAGGTTAGGTTAGGTAGGGTTGGTTAGGTTTGGTCATATATCTACGTTAATTTAAACTCCAATAAACAAAAATTGACCTCATACATAATGAAATGGGTAGCTTTATCATTTCATAAGAAAAACATTAGAGAAAATATATTAATTCAGGAAAACTTGGCTTATTAGGCAAATCGGGCCTTGCATAGTAGGCTGAGAAGTGCGTTCTGGCTACTAGGTACGACATTATATATATATTATATATATATATATATATATATATATATATATATATATATATATATATATATATATATATATATATATATATATATATATATATATATATATATATATATATATATATATATATCCAAAAGGCGACAAAGCCAATTTGCTTTATATAGCAACTGGAAACGATTTGAGGACAGGATGAAGGCTGGGATATGGAAGAATGAGCTCGAACGCCGACCTTGCAAAAAAGCAAGCATGACGCTGAAAGGAACATGTGTCTGCACGGGAAAGAGACTACGGTCAGCAGGTGTGTAAAATAAGTATTCCAGAAACTAGGGGTCAAAGGTCATCGGTGACTGCAAATGACGAGTTCGAAAGTGCCGGGGAGGGGGGGGGGGAATGATGGGGGGAGGGGGAATGATGGGGGGAGGGGGAATGATGGGG